AGAAGCTGGTTTGAAAGTTCTCATCATGTTTCTTAACATGGAAGAACTAATAAAAAAAGCAGCAGAAAAGACTCTGTTTATAATAATGTGGAACTGGCTACCAAAGAGGTGAGCTTCACAAGAGTGCTGCACTCACTCAAATCTGGAGGTGTTTATGCTGTTCCTGAAGGAAGTTATAATCTAGCTGGTGTCTGGGTATCTTGTAGAGAGATGTATTTCAGTGTAGATCACAGTGGGAAAATACCATCAAGAGCAGGATGGTGGTGCAGGCTTTTTTCCCCCTGTGTAGTTGGACAAGAATTAGGGAGAGAGACTGGAGCATCTGTGTGTAGTAGAAGCATAAAATCTGCTTGAAGAGGGGCAGAAGAATACAAATATCAGGAGGAAATAAGCAGATTCTGCTTTTGAGGGTGGACAGAGAAGCAGAATTTGCAGGGAAAGGCTGGCATGTCCAAAAGAGATGAGGTGGCCTTAGAGAAGAATAATAAGGGGCAGACTCACCCTGCACCCATGTTATGGTTTTCTTTCCCCTCTCCTGCATGTGCTCAGCCTTCCTGGATGTCCATCCCTCCAAATAACCAAGCAAGAGCATTATTTCAAGAGAGGGGAACGTCTCTGGGTGCATCTGCAGCAGGAATAACCAGCCCCACCACCCCCCAGCTCAGTGCTGTCCCAGCTAAAGCCCTTCTCATCTCTCCCCTTCAAGTACCCCAGAATCAGCAGGGGTGGGGGCTATCAGCTGATTCTACTCCAGGCAAAATTATTCAGGCTGCCAGACCAGAATCTACAATAAGTACAGCATTTGCTTCTGAATTTGTAATTCTTCCAGCTGGTTCCCTCCAGGGGCTTCCAAGGGTGGGGGGTCCAGCAGTCTTCAGCCCACTTCCCATGAGCATTCCGTCCCTCTGAACCCCAAACTGCTTCTTTGTCTTTTTTTAATTGGAGATGCATGGGGAAGGAGCAGGCTAAAGGGCCAACAGAATTAGAGTCTTTTCTGCTAATAGCCTGAATCTCTGATGAACTCGTCAAAGCAGGGGAGAAGGGGCTGTGCCAGAGCATCCCTAAGGGGGGCATTATGCAAATGGAGAAATTAGTTGGAAACAGCCTGAAGGGAAACATGTGGAAATTGAAATCCGAGGAAGAGCATAATCACTGCTGAATAACTTATTGTAGACTCACAGCATCTGCTGTAGCTGCCTAAGCAGAAGGGAAGACACAGTCAGGGAAGGTTCAAACTCCAGAAATTTGACGGAGCTTAAAAAATAAAAAGTTAAACTAAACTCTACCAGTGGGTGTGGAAGAAGTGACTTCTCACCCCCTTCCTCCCAGAGAAGGGGTCCTTCTCCCAACCAGGACCCTCAGCTCAGCAGCAGAGCTCTATAATGGTCCAGATCCTACAGGGGATACTCAGAAATCTGGGGGGGAAGGAGGAATAGCCTCAAGTTTTGTCCTGGCAACATGTCCAGCCCAGAAATGAGAAACAAAAGAGGGAGTCTGACAGGTGACTGCCATGGGAAGTGATGTGAAGGGCAGAAAATGCAAAGATGATCTTTGTCTGTGTAGAGGGGTGGTGACGAAGTGAGATCTCTGGTGGCTGATGAGAGAGGCTTTGGGGTTCTCTGAGATGGGAGTGGAGGAGGGTTGGTAAAACAGAAATGTCCTATAACCATAACCTGCTGTCTTTCTCTGCATCCCAGAGCTTTCCAAAAAATAATTGCAAGTGGTACTGAAGAGTTCCATGACATAGCAGAACAAGTCTCTCTTCTCCATTCATGATTAGGACATCTGTTTGTTTACAAGTTCCCCACCAGATGGCTGCAGGTGCCTGTCCCTACAAACACAGGTACTGTCTGGCACACTCAGAACAGGCACCTCAGCACAGCTATTTCAACCCCCTGGCCTCAGCAGCCCTGTACATTCACCCTCCCCCCCACTGCTCCCAAAATGCCCATGCCGTGCCTCAGTTGCCCCACTAGTACCACCAGCCTTCATCCTAAGCCAGTGACACCGAGAGACAGACACACAGACACATAGTCACCTGAAAGCCCATCCCCTGCCCTCTTCCCCAAATCTGTGCACTAACACCTCTCTCTCATTTCACACACTCTGTGGCCTTTGGGTTGCCAGAAGTGCCATGACCAGGTGTCCCAGATGCCCTCCTTGCTGGAGAACAAGAACATGGGGACCAAGCCATGCCCACTCCCTGGACTGGTTGAACATCCCCTCCATCCCTTCCCTGTCTTGGAGAAGCTCCTTGCTCAGCCAGGAGCTCAGAGCAGCACTGTCTGAGGTGTATTGGGATTTGGTTTCTTTTCACAGCAGTGGAAAACACATCTTCCAGCTTGAGCTCCTTTTGTAACCTCCACAAGCATCAAGGTGAGCACTTCCTGTGGGTCTTTCTCTTCAGAAGCAGCTAAGGACAGGGCAGATGGAGCCTGTGCCAAGGGCAGGGGTGGCCTTTGAATCCTACCTCCTTCTGGGATGCAGCCAGGAAGAAAGCTGCTGAGGAAAAAAAGCACCAGCACCTCAGCACAGATTGAGTGATCAATACACCTGAGCTGTCATCTGCTCTGCTGCCACTGCTCGCCTCTCGCAAGTGCTCTGCTGTGCCAAAACAGTCTCACTGGCACAAATAGGAGCTGGGAAGTGGTAATGGGGGATGCTGGGATGGGGCCATGCTGGATTTCACTCCTCTTCCCACAGGGATGAGATGAGAAGATGGCAAAGGGAAATGAAACTGGTGTGGTTTGTGGGGGACTCAGAACCTCTGTGGGACACTGTCCCCAGGCAATGGGATCCACCAGGACACACACCCCCAGCCAGCCTGCTCCTCCTTAGGGTCAGCCCCAAGGCAGGTGATGTGGAAACACCAGAGCAGGTTATGGGGTGTCCTTCCTGCTGCACTCCCAGAACCCTCACTGCCTGAGAGGACAAAGCCACTTGCAGAGGCAAAGCCACCATCTGCTCTTCTCACCAGCACCCATCAGTGGGATGGGATTGCAACCATGCTAGTGGAGCAGAAATGCCTTTATTTCACGCCCATCTCTCATCTGGAGGATGGTGAGAAAGAGACATGGGGAAATAAAAGCAGAGTGAGTCCTTTGGCTCACTTATTAGCATGAGTAATAATAATAATAGCATAATTCCCTTCACAGTAATCCAGTAAGGAAATAGCTAATTATCTGAGGGCAAATGTTTATTTCTGCCAAAAAAAAAAAAGCCCTTTAAAAATCATGTAGCAGTGCATCTCTTCACCTAGTTTATCTTTTCCTCTTTGCTCCCCAAAAACAGCCTGCAGTGGAGAGAGCATGGCGAGGCACAGCCTGTAGCAATGCCATCTCGCCTGGGGCTGGTGGGAGCAGATTTTTGCAGAGAGAAGCCAATTAAGAGCTATCACTCAGGCAGGCATCAGCTTCTGGGAAATCAGGAGCTTCATTACCTCTC